TGCTTCTGGCTCGAGTGACACAGAAGTCACCCAGGGTGCTGACAACGAGATTAGAATGGCCACAGTGACGAGGCGAGAACAGAGTTAGGGTTAAAAAAGCCCAAAGACACACCTTGAAGAATTAGAGTCGGAGGCGTCTGTGACACAACCAGTGGAGAGAAGTGGCTGGGTTCCACGTGTGATCCCAGAGATTCGGATAAAGATGTCAAAGATCAGGAAAAGATGCCATTTGAAATCACAGGGACTCCTGAGATTTCCTAGGAAAAGGTCCTGGGAGAGCAGGGAGGAGTGACCACGTGACCCAAGGGGCAGCAGGGGACACGAGGGAGGGCTGGCCAGTGGGGCTGGAGGGACGCCAAGGAGGAGAGTGTTGGGATGAAGGATGCTGCTGACCGCTGCTGAGAGGTTGAGGACGGCGAGGAAAGAAGGGCCCACTGATCACTCGGCACCGTGTCTGCGCCGGAGACAAGCTCCGGGAGAGGTTAATTACTGCACTGTTGACCCTCAGATCAGCCCCGGTGGAGGCCCAGGTAACGCACTTCCGAGTTCGCTCGGGGGACGACGCTGAGCCCGGCACCCTGTGTGCGCGGCCACTGGGGCCTCGGCCCGGATCCCGCTCGCACTCCCTCTGCTGCGCCGCCCAGGCCCCCCACGCCGCCCTTTAATTTCTCCAAAGCCAGAGCCGCGGTTTTCATCTGAAACTCTGTGAAGCATCCTAACATTTCCCTCGTCTTTCTGGGTGTGAGTCAGAAGTAAAGGTTAAGGAAATTGAGAGCAGAGAGAGATCTGACAACTGTCCACGGTGACCATTTGACTTGGCTACTTACTGTTTTCAGACAGCTCCACGATGTAATAAAGAACTGGGCTGTTTCCATCAAAGGGTCGGACCCAGGAGAGCGTCACGGTGCGGCTGTGGGAGGAATTCAGGCTGGCCAGGAGGTTCTGAGGGGAGTGAGGCAGTTCACTTGGATACAAAGGAACAAAAAGAAAAAGAAACAAACAAAACACACACATCAGAATCGCTGGCTGGCCTCCCGGCCCATCCTCTCCAGTCCTGGGGTGCGATGTTTGGAAAATGCAGAACATCAAATATGCCCCAAACACAAACACTAACTACTTCCCTGTCCAACAAAAAAACCTTTTACTGTTCACAATGTTTTAAAGAACAATTTCCAAACGTAATTTGATTTAATCCCTCTGGTAGGGACTACACAAACGATGCCTCTCACTGGAATGGGTGGGGAGTGCTGATTTTATACAGCGTATAATTTAATGTAGAAAACTTGGCCAACAATTTGTTTTTACGGCTAGAGGCTGCTCATGGGAGTGCAGCACGCCCTGGAACAGGGACAGGGACAGGTCGGGGGCGCTGTGATTCACGCTGTGTAAGTTTCCGCCACCAGCCATTGGGCGTCGCCGGCCACCGTGCCCACACGCGCTCCTGGACGATAGGGCCGCCTCACGGCTGCGAGCGTGTGGCTCTGCGGTCAGGCTGTCTTCTGCTGGAGAGAGCAGGTTTGGGAGAAGCCCTGAAAGGGAAATGTGGGGAAAGCCCTAACTGGACTCCCGTGGAGAACAGTACATCACCCACCAGCAAGGCGACGAAATGGGGACACAATCAAGGCAAGTAAGTTCTGCACAGAAGTTACTAACAGGAAAGGCCCTCGCAGGGCTTCACTGGGGATGAAACTTCGAAATCCAGCTGCCTGGTTTCTACCGCCGAGGGGCCTGCGACCGCGAGCTGCCCAGCCCCGTACTTAACCTTTACGACCCGTGATCCGGGAGCAGGACCCTGTTTTCTGGCCGTTAGGAACGGCTTCTGCCCTCACAAGGAGTGCTGGGAAGGGGGACGCCCACTGCGACCCGCTTCGCCCACTCACTGGCTCTTGGTCTCTCTCAGACACCAATCCCTGCTGGTGCACGGAGGTCAGCACAAAAAGCCATAATTATACTTGATATTTTTAATTTAAAAAATGTACTCATTACTCTTTGAAATTTATTAAGTGGTTACGTGCTGCCGCTACCTGAGAAACACAGCTCTCTCTAGCCCACGCACGCCATTTATAAACAAACTCGTATTTCTAACGTAGACAGCGACTTTAAATCAGTACAATGAAGAATAAACTGGAGCCTGAAATGCTGTCTTGTTTTCTCTTTAATTGTAAATTCAGTTTTAAGTCTGAAAAGGAGCTGCTGTTTCTACTTGAGTTCTCCAATAACGGGACCTCCCTCAGACGTCCAGCGGACGCCGATACAGGGAAACGCCAGGAACGAAACCGTCTTTTCCACAAGCCCTGTTTTCTGCTGGAACTCGTTTGTTCTGCAACCAAACCAAAGTTGCTGAAACAGTCCTACCTGAAAACAAACTAAGGATCAATGAGGAAAAACATATCCAAGTAAGACAAGTTTGGCCTTTGTCCTGAGTGACAGAAGTGTGTCTGCTATTCACGGCGGCCCCTCAGGGGCCGAGTCTGAGCTAAAGGATGCGCGGGGACGGGGGGCCTACATAGTGCCGGGAGCGGGTATCCACGCTGGACAGGCCAACCCTGCGATCAGAGGGCTGGACTCTGGGCCAGGGATGTCAGCCCAACTTTGGGATCTCCTGGGAAGTGGAGGGGTCGGGGCCAGAGCCCGAGGTCAGTCACATGCCAATGATTCAGTCCAGCACGGCCATGGAATGAAGCCCCAGTAAAAGCTGGACACCAAGCTGAGTGGAGCTTCCTGGGTGGAGATCAGACACGTGTGTCCAGGAGGGTGACGCACCTGGAAGACGTGGAGGCCTCGTGCCTGGGGCCCTCCCAGACCGGGCCCCGGGCGCCTCTTCGCTTGTCTGGGCCTGGTTCTTACCCTTTATGGTAAGACTGAGGTCATAAGCGAGCACTGGACTGAGTTGTTCCAGGGACCTGCTGAACTGGGGGCAGCAGGAGGCCCAAACATCAGTGAGTCCGTTAGGGGCCCGGGGGGCCGGGAGCCTGTGGCTGGTGTGTGGAGTGCGGACAGTCTAGTTGGGGACAGTCCCTTCTGCGGGGTCTGTGCTAACTCCAGCCAGTCGGCGTCAGAACTGCACTGTGGAGACTTGCCCTGGTGGGGAAGATCTTCTGACCTGAGGAGCATGGACTTCAGAGGCCGCCAGGGCTGGCTGGTGCTCGGGGCCACGTGCTACCTGTGGACACTGCCGGTGTTCAAAGAGCCTCCCTGATGGCCACCGCCGTCCCCCTGCCAAGTCAGGAGGAGAGATGCACGTGTGGCCCGAGGCCTTGGGAGCAGAGGCAGGACCACACAGCCAGAAAAGACCTGTGTGAAGCAGAGAAGGCCCGGGGAGGTCCTAAGTGGCATCTCACAGGGGCAGGAAGCAGGTCCAACGGGACGTTTCAGAGGATTACCTCTGGGGGTTGACGAGTCGTGGGTCAGTCCTCCCACCACTCGTGTGTTTACCTGCCAGCCCGCCCTTCCAGTCAGTGGCTGTCCTCCAGACCCTCCACTCCCAGCTGCCGTCCACCCTTATACACACACGTGTCCAGTGAGTCACGAATCCTACGTGCTGTCCCCCAGAAGTGCCCACACCACCAATCCCCCTGCTCCGCCCACAGTCCAGCCTCCCAGGGCCCTGACCACCCTGACACCCTGCCTGCTGCCTCCGGGGTGCACTTGGGACCCTCCACATTGTCGGGAGTCGTGCCGCTCCCCCCAGGCCCCCCCTCGTCAGCCCCATCCCCATGCTGGGGGCTCTCCTGAGAGCATAGAACGTCCCGGCCTCAACGCTGATGACTCCCAGCTCCCTGTGTGCTCCCAGGAGAGGCTCGTGGACTGCAGGTCCCTGCATCAGAACACCCAGCTCAGCGTCCAGCTCTCTCCTCCATGAGAACTTCCCGGGCCTCCCTGTCACCCTTGGCTAACTCTCGAGCAGAACCAGTCACTTCCACCTCCTGATTCGAACTGCAATTTATAGATGTTTCAGTGCCACAAGTATCGCGAAGCCCTGCAGGCGCAGGGACCCCAGGGCACCGTGTGGGACTGTGATCCGCGTCCTTCTCTGCTGTAGCCTTTCTCCCTCCACCAGGGCCGGGCACGGGGCTGGAGTGGGCACGCAGCGAAACGTGGGGTGGTGGAGAAGTGACCCACACAGGAGAGGAGGGATGAACCAGCAACCCGTCCTGAGCCTCACAGGTCGGGGGCACGGGGCAGGGGCTGCCACAGCCCTGCCCTCCCAGGGCTCACAGCTGCCGTGGAGTCACGGGGTGGCTGGGGGACTATGCCGCGCTGGGCACCCTGCGGAGGAGGTGGGGGTCTAACACCTGGCAGGTGTGAGGGTGGGAGGAGGACAAGGAAGGGGCCAGGCCTGCTAAGGGTGCAGGTAAGACCCGGGGGAGGTTGGGGGCACCGGGGTGGGGGGGAGCACAGGGTTTGCACTGGGTCGTGGAGGAAGGCAAGTAAGGGACGCCCGAGTTTGAAACTCCTGTCTTATCTGTGTGTCACTGACCTTCCAGGGCTGGAAAGGGACCCCAAGGGCTGCTCATTAGAAAGCATCCTGGAGATAAAACATCAGATGATGGTGGGTGTGACGTCAGGAGGGGACAGCTCACAAGACAAAAGCTGGTCAGAAGTTAGGGGGCAGGTGGCCGCAGCAGGCATGCACATCGGAGTCCGAGCAAGCACACAGGAGCCAGAGGTGGGGGCACACAGCTGGCTCGGGACAAGCCCTGCAGGGGGGCCATCTCATTCTCAAGGATGGCAGGACGTGGGGGGAGGAAGGCCGGAAAGGGACAGGCTCCTCGCGGACAGTAGGGAAGTCATGCTGTGGCCCCGGGCCTACCACCGCCCCTCTGCACCTTGTCCGGGGTCCCTATCTGAGGCCTAAACGTCCCACAGCCGGGAGAACCGCGGTTTACACCCCACCTCAGCTCATGCTTCTCTGGGCCTGAGGGAGGGCACACGGCAGCCTTTTCCTGGGGGCCGGAGCGCTATGTCACTGGTGGGCTGGTCGCTGGCACTTGTCTGGAGGTCCCCCGGGGCAACCTCCCTGGCCGGGCCTTAGCGCTGGAGTCCTTGGACTTCGGCACAACCCACCTGCCCCGCCCTGACCCAGCGCGGGAGTCCCGGAGGAGTGGTTTCTGAGCTCCCGCCTCCCAGCCCCGGGAAAGCCGCCAAGCGGAAGCCCACGGGGGCTGCAGAAGTCGGCCTGCAGATAGCAACAATGGTAGCCAGGAGCCTAGGGCGGACGGGGGAGAAAGATGCTTACAAAGATCGGCAAGACCGGGGAGGTGCAAGGGCAAAGCAGCCTGGAGACCCTGCGGGCAGGAACCGAGGTGCTGGGCACATGCAGAAGCAAGAAGCGACGAACGCTTGTCCACCGCTGCCCAGCGCCGTCCACCGTCACGTCCAGGAGGACGGCTCAGGCCCAGTGCGGCTTCTGCATGCACCACAGGACTCAGAGCCGGAAGGAAATGCGGACTTTCTCCTAGTTCCAGTCTCCCTACGTGGGAATACCCTCAAGGATCGCTCTCGCGTTCACCATTACCGGTTTCGCATGCAAAGAACTGTTTAACATACACTGGAAACGGGCCCTCCTTCTTTAAATGGTAAGTTTCGGTTATCTGGAAGATTCAGCTTTGTGAAATTCTTGACTCAGCCATCCACCGATAAGTGAGGCTTTAATGTATCCCGGGTCCATTTCAGAGACTCACACCTAATAGGACGAGACCGTGTCTGGGCACTTCTCCGCCAGCTCTGAAAGGAGGTGATCAGCAGAGTGACTCACGGACGGTGGCGTGCAGACGGGGAGACAAACGAGCGAGATCTGAGGACAGCGGGGCCAGGCCCGTGCTGAGTCACTCGGTAGTTTAGAGAAGTCACTGTCCAGCAGAGGACAGCACGGCAATGTCGGAAACCAGCCCGGACAAAACCCGGAGCGCGCGGGGAGGCCGGCGCGGGGTGCCTGAGGGAAGCGGCTCTGACACAGGCTCGGGGGAGGCGGCCGGCGAGGCTGCGGTCGCGGGACCGAGCTGGCGGGAGGGGCTCCGCTGGGTGCTTTCCTGTAAAACCCGTTGCCTCGCTG